CATAAAATAAATTTTTGTTGCTTCTTCATAACTGTACTTTTGCTAATGTTATGAATCATAATATAAATATTTTATTTGTTTCCCCAAAGGTCTTAGGTAACCCCTGTGAAAGGGTTGGTCAGCCTTCAAAGGGGTCATGACCCACAGGTTAAAAACCAACTGCTGAAGGTAAGAAGCTAAAGACCAAAGCATCCAAGATTTAGTATTCCACGTGTCCTGCAATGCAAACACCAGCATGCTGCTCTGAACAAACAACACACTAAGAAAAATGAGGAGGCTGCAGAATATGCTAAACTTTTGGGCAATCAAATGAAGGAAACCAAAGGAAAAAAAAAAAAAAAAACACCAGGAACAGATTGCCAAGACACATAGGCTATCTGTCCTCACTGCACACTTCTACAAGTCTGAGTTCAGACAAAAATAAGAGTCTTTAAGAGTAACAAATAAGCAATCAAACCTTGACAAAAAAGGGGGGGTGCTTCGATTAAAACCCAGATGGCATGGTGCCAGTGTCTATCAACAGCTTTCCAGGCTGGAATTAGGACAGCAGACTACTTAGGACGGCTAAGGCATTATCACCAGCTGGAGCCAGGGCTGATGCCGAATAGCTGTGAGCAAAGGTCTTTAACACCCTTTTTTTTTTTTCAGAGAACCAACTGACTGTGGAGGATGGGGCTGGGGCTGGGGGTCTGGGGCTGGGGCTGGGGCTGGGGTTGTTGGTGACAATTAGATGATGGCCACATAGACACAAGCAGAATGGAAAGAGATCCCTCTTATCTTGTGCTTTTTTGTCTTCACTATTAGTTCTGTTGAGTAGTCTCTCAGTCTGCTAGAGCTGCTATAGCAACACACCGTAGACACACCGTAAATAACAGAGACAGATTTCTCATACAAGATGGAGGTACCAGCAGATGTAGTCTGGGATAAGGGCCCGAGTTCTCATACACAGCTGTCATCTCAGTCTACTTTCACCCAGAGGATGGGGTGAGGATTTCTCAGGGCTCTATTACAGAAGCATTAATCCTACTCATGAGGGCTCCATGTTTATGACCCACCATTGCCTTGGGAATAAATACTTCAACCAGTGGCTGTGAGAGGAACACAGACATTCAGACTATGGCAGACAGGTGATAAACCCTTTTTCAGATAAGAAGACTGAGATTCAAAGGGGTGACAAAATTTGGATAAAAACTCTAAACAGTAGAGGGGAGAATGGGCCTCACATTTTCTGGTTCCAAGATGGCAGCTGTAGAATTCACAGCAGGTGATTTGGGGAGTAACACAGCAGAGTGGTTAACAGTATGAGCTAGGTGACCAAAATTCAGGTGCTCTAATTTCCTTACATCTTTCAAGAGTAACTAACGTCCCTGGGGCTACCATCCTCCTGTACAAAATGGGCTTAGTAATAATAACCAATATCTAACTCCAGGAATTGCTTTGGGAAGTCAACAAAGCCATTCGTATGGAAACAATGGACAGAACACCCATGTACACAGTGGGGGCTCAGCAATCAGTAGCTGTTTCAGTAGGCATTCACGTCTATGTCCTGCTGAGCAAAGGCAAGGCTCAGAGTTCACCCAGATCCTTCTCCCAAACCATTTTATCTCTTCCTTCTGTAAGGGAACATCTGTGCTAAATGAAACATTGACATTTATTTAATCTAGAGCCTAGAATCCCAGCACTCAGGAGGCCGAGGTAGAAGGGAAGGTTGTGAGTTTTGGGGCTATGTCCTGAGACCCTGTCTTTATAACATAACTCTCTAACAAATGAGAGAGAAAGAGAAAGAGAGCACTAGCATATTATGTGAGTTGCCTACAGCTAATTTTTAGCTAGTTACAGGCAAATAATTTACTTGCAATCTATATTTAAAAAAATGTTGACATGAGATAGAAAAATACAAAAGAAGTTAGGACACCACCAAGAAACCCTCCAAACTAAGGTGTGACTTGATGGGGAAGGCAGCTCATGCCGCACCCCTGTTGGCATGAGCAAGTGGAGTGAGGGGGCCCTCCCTGGGAAGCAGGAAAGGTTTGCTTTAGTCCCCTATCATCTCATCCCTACCCTGCGATATTGTCTGTAGTGAACAAAGGAAACCCAAGCCTAGGAGATACACAGAGAAGTTAACCAAAGGCTAGCCACTAGTATCTTGGAAAACATATGGTATATATAAGATTAGTTCCAGGGCAGGGTTGGAAGGGAAAGAAAACAAAGTCTTTGATAGCCTTTGACTGGGGTGCCCTCACTGGCTTGAAAACTAGCTCAGAGTTGAGTAAAATGAACAGTGGGCATTGGATGGGTACAGAAACTAGAGAAAGTGCGGGACTACAGAGGTTCAAAGCGTCAAGAATGAGGTTTAGGGGAGAACAAATGTAGGCAACACACATTTAGCCAAGAGTGTCTGGCTTTTGCCTCAGCCCTCTGTATTTAAGAGCTGCTCTCAAGGGCAAAATCAACTTGTGTCTACTATATTGAGAGGTGTGTGTGTGTGTGTGTGTGTGTGTGTGTGTGTGTGTGTGTGTGTGTTCCTCAGGCAGTGGGAAATGTGGTGGGTGGGACAGTGACAAGGCAAGGCAGTTGAGGACTAAGGAGCAGGAACTCCAAACTGAAGTGCAGGTCCACCTGCTACGAATTCATTACACCCAGTTGCTGTTAGCTCAGTGCCAAGGCTGCATCTTTTAAGAGAAAAACTGCATTTGGGAAATAGTTGCCAAAACTCACTCAAAAGAAAAAAGGAAAGAAAAGTTTAGAATTTTGTGTATTTCTTTGTTTGGTTTGGTTTTATATGTTTCTGTGGCTTTTTTAAATAATTTGTATGAGTGATTTGCCTGCATGTGTATCTCTACACCACATGTATGCCTAGTGTTCGGTGAGTCCAGAAGAGGATGCTGGGTCCCTTGGAACAGGAGTTACAGATGGTTGTGAACCCCCAACATGGGTGCTGTGAACTGAACCCAGGGCCTCTGTCTAAGCAGTTAAATGTTCTTAACTGCTAATCTATTTCTCCAGCCCCAGTTTTATGAAGCTTTGGGACATGGCCTCACTCTGTAGCCCAAGATGGCCTGGAACTTGATAGGTAGACCAGGCTGGCGTTTAATTTGCATTAATACTCCAGTATCAGTCTTCCGAGAGCTAGGTATTTCAATTATAAAATGTACATTACCACATCTGGCTGAATTTGTGGGGCACTTTCTGTTCTGTTTTTCATTGTTGCTGCTGCTCCTGATGGTGTGGAGGGTATGTGTGTGTGTGAGTGATATTGGAGTGGGAAGGGTGCGCTGTGGCACATCTGTAGATCAGAAGACACGCTGAAGGCTCAGATCTCTCCTTCCATCGGAGCTTCTGGGGATTGAACTCTGGTAGTCAGTCTTGCACTCCTACCCTCTGCACCAAAGCTTGTCCAAGGTTGTTTTTTAATCACTTATCTTATTAAAAGAAATCAGTTGAACTCATTTGATATAAATACATGCACTGAATAATTATCAAGCGAAGAAATCACTCCAAGATCTCACAGATTCTCGTTGATTAAAACCAGCATTCTAGCCCTGCCTTTCTATGGTTGTTAAGTACCCATGTCATGTTAAGTGGCTCACTGCTTGCAGGAATTTGCATTCTGCCTCAAAGCAGCACTTGGTTCAAACACTGTGTTAGTCAGCATCCCTTCGCTGTAACAAAGACCAAGATGATCAACTTACAAAGAGAGGAGGTTTGTTTTGGTTTATAATTTTGGATGTCCTAGTCCATGACAGCTTAGCCCTATTGCTCCTTAGCCTATGGGGAAGCAGGCCATCATGGCAGGAGCATGTGGCAGAAGTCTGTTTTGATAAATCTTTCCGCCAACCACTTGAGTTCTGCCCGCCATGTGGATGGCCAAAATAATACATTTATATTATATTAGGCACAAATGCTGCTTGGCCAATGACTAGGATTTCTCATCTGCTAGCTCAGTCTTAATTGTCATAAATCTATAAGACTTATCTTATCGGACACCTTCCGCTGGCGTCCTCATCCCCGGGATCACATGGTGTCTCAGAGCAGAGAGCAGGAGGAAGAGCAAAGGGGAAAGGGACCACTTCCTGCTTGTCCTTACTTAAATATGAGTCTCTCTGCTATGTCACTTCCTGTCTGGATCACCACTTTACTACATTTCCTAGAATTCTCCTTGACTCCTAGTCCCGTCTAACTTTCTGCCTCATTGGCCAAACAGTACTTTATTCAACAATCAATAAAATGAACATATACAGAAGTACATTCCCCATCAGAAGTCCCAGCCTGTAAGCTAACAGGAGGAAGAGAAAAGCTGAGCATGGTGCTTGCAGCACTGAGGAAACTGAGTCAGGAAGAACGAGAGTTCTAAGGCCAGCCTGAGCCACATAGCAAGATCCTCTGAGACAGACAAAAAGAAAGAGAGGGTGGGGTGCTGGATACCCAGAGTCCCCTTCAAGTACGTGCTCACATTGATGTGAAACACTCCCACCAGGCCTCATCTCTGAAAGGCTCTACCTTGTACCAAAACCACCAGGCTGGGAACTGAGCCTTTAATGCAAACCTTTGTAAGACACTTCAGAGCTAAACTATGGTCAATGTAAAGCAAACATGAGTTCATATTGATAACCAAAGCTTCAAATGGTCACCTATAATCCCAGCACTCAAGATGGTGAAGACAGTGAAATAGGATTATGAGTACAGGGCCAACCTGGGCCATGTGGTGAGAGCTTGTTATTGCTATTCTTTGAAACAGGGTATGTGTCTGTGTGTGTGTGTGTGTGTGTGTGTGTGTGTGTGTGTGTGTATGTATGTGTACAGACTACCCACTGATACCATCAGCTGCTAAGTGGTACACTAAAATCAACCTCAGAGATCATAAATCTTCCTGGATATTTTCCCAAAGAAAGGAACAAGTGTTATGGGGGAAAAGAAATTGCCCAAAGTTGTAGAAAAATGGTGAATTACAGACTGCCTTTCAGTCTGCATGCATACTTCCTCTCAACAATGATACACACCTGTCCACAAGTGACTCCCACATCAATGTTACAATCCGTTGCCTGCATGCTTGAGCCCCCAGTTCTTACACCCATCATGATGAGTTTGGTGGTCTGCTCAGCTGGCCACTTGCAGCCTTGTGAAGACATCTTTGTGAGGGCTTCCTGCTCTTGTCTATGTCCTCATACCTTCTGGGACTTGCCTCATGCTTGTCTGCCTTTACTGAACACAAAGAAACCCTTTATCAGCCTTTATCTCCCTCACATTTTTTCATGGTTACAATTTTAGGATGGAGAACAACTGCTAATGTTTGTCTGGGAACTGTTGGGTTTGCGGGGTTTTCCAGTTTATGTTTATTTTTGTTCGCTTATTATCTGGTTACAAATAGAGCTTTGGCCCATTGTGGTCATTTTGAAGAATTTGTATTTAGACATACACCCACAAGGATAGTCAAAGGGGCAATATTTTCACAATGAGTCTCATCAGCCTCTTCCATATTTTATAATCCTTAGCCACAACTGGTAAAATACATGAGAGTAATTGGAGTATAGCTTCAGTTCATTCTTGTTAGCCACCCTTGGCTAACAGCCATCTTTGTTATTCTATCAAGAAAAGCATGGCCAATGTCTCTTTCCACTTAAGTACACTAGGGAGGAAGCAGTAGCCAGACCCCCTACCTAGAAGACTGGGATTGGTACCCTTGTTAAAGAGATTATATCCCACCCTGTCCCACTCCCTGCTCACACTAAAATCCCTAAGCAGAGAGAACCTCCATTGATATCAGGATCCCAGAGGTTGCAAGGTACAATAAAGGCCCATAGGGTGCAGCCATAGCTTGTGAGAAATGGAAGCTATTTCAACAGAGAAGACATGGGAATCCATCTGTATGTCTTACAAGAGACAGAAAAAAAAGGGGGGACCAAGAAGTGAGGGACAGCTGCCTCTTAGCCCTGTGAAGTCTGTCTTCTGCACAGGGACAAAAGGTTTATATTTCTCATGCTTGTATACTTCCCATACTGTATTGCTATTCTGTTCCTAGAACTGAAGCCAGGGGCTGGAAGGAGCAGTCTCCATATCCTCCTGAACAGGGATCTTTGCTTCAGGGAATAGCCAGCCAACTGACCCCCCCATCCAAGCAAGCAGGAAAAAACAGACCCACCATCTCTAGAAGCCAAAAGGCTTGGGAAACCAAGACTTCATGACCAACAACATCTACTAGGAAGATTCACGTGTAACACCTCTCATTGTTTCCTCTTGAAGCTTTGTCCTCCAGCAGTATATCCCAGTGTAATAAAGGGCAACTGTGTTGTTCTACTTGCTACTTACTGGTATCTGTACAGTCAACACAGAAACCATCACACATTCTTTCAGATCCTGAAGAAATATTTCCAAATTCCATGCACTCCTCTTTACTCCTGCTACTATGGCCCTTTCTGGTCATCCCTCAGATGGACTGCTGCAAGAAGACTCCCGATTCCCGTTGCTTCTGCTGGCCTGCACTCCTCCAATCCCCCTTTAAAGCAAAAGTTGAATCAGACCATGCTTTACAATCTCCTAAAGCCCTCACATCTCATTGGAAGTCAAATATCCAAATTGCTCACACTGATCTGCATCTACCCTGCCTCGTCCAGTACTGCCTCCATGACCAACTCTTGGACTAGTCTCCCTTGAGTCTTCATCCTTGGCCACAAATGCTCTTCTCCCAGGCAGCCACATTCATACTCCCTTTTTCTTTTAGGCTTCTGGTCAAATGCCATCTCAATCAAGTGCTTACTGACTATAGTAGGACTTCATCTCAGATGATCCCCAACAGCCCCTACCCTCCTGGATCTCACACCATCATGCAGTCCCCAACTCTCGTGTAGCAGATGTCAGGTTGCTTCTAGTAAATAAATGATGCAATAAATGATGGCGCTCTACTTTGCAAATTAGCTTTCTGTCTTAGGAACATTGTTTCATTTTCTTCCTTGCTTTCTGATTGTGAGGGATACCAACCATCCCTCATGTGACCAAATAGAGATCAGCATGGCTAGCCATGGTGGAAGGCACCCAGCCAACAGTCAACAAGGCACTGAGTTCTCTTTGCCCAACAGCCAGCCATCACCAGAAGCCTGATGACTCTTCCACGCCAAATGCAACTTCCTGAGAAAACCTCAAGCAGAAAGACCACATTGGCAACACAAAGAAACTATCCCTAATTAAATGACCATTGCTTTCTGCCTGGCACCATCTCCAAACTATAGCACGCTATGGTTGTTGGTTTAGTTCCATCCCCATCTGGCTTGGTTCCTTTCCTGTTGCTGTGAGAAAATACCCTGACAAAAGCAATGTAAGAGAAAAAAGGTTTATTTTGCCTCTGCAGTCCAAAGAACAGACCTTTATGGTGAGGGCACAGCAAAAGCTTGAAGAGGCTGGTCATGTTGCATCTACAGTCCGGGGGAAAGAACAGTGAGTGGACGCATGCTAGTGCTCTGCTTGCTTTTTCCACATCATACAGTCCAGGATACCCTGTCCTGGGAATGGTCGCACCTATAATGAACATGGGTCTTCCTACATCAATTATCCTGATAAGACAATCTCTCACAGAGATAACCAAAGGCCCATTTCCCAAGATGATTCTAGAGTCTGCCAAGATAACAACTAGCCAGCACACACACACACACACACACACACACACACACACACACACACACACACACCTCTGTATCTCAGCACTCAGAGCACACCTGGCACAGAGTAGTACCTTTGAAAATGGTTGATGGATCTCTATACGAGGAGAGAGAAGCACTTTGCAAAGTGATGAAAACCCAGCTTCACTTGGACGTCTCTGCTCGTGTTAAATGAACAAAGCAGACAGTTTGTCTGATCTTTAGCAGGTTCTTAACAAAGTGTGGTCTCCCCTCCCCCAGGAGAAACTTAGATCAAACAACATTGGTATAGAAGAGTGTGATGTTCAAATAGTTATTTTCACAATTCTTGGCAAGGTAAAAAGGTACAGCTTGTTTAAATTCAGATGCAAGCATCATTTCTGTGGCTGTTTTCATTTTGGGTCTCATAACACTCATCGCCTAAAACACACACCCCACTTAAGAAGCTACCCCACCTTTGGCTTTCTGAATTATTCTGTAACTCCATCTCTCTTTGGCATTAAAGATGTAGATTTTTATCACAGAAGTTCTTTCAGACCTTTATGGGCTCTGAATTACATGCTCACTTTAAGAGTCATTCAGAGAAAAATAAAAATTAGTTCATCTGCCACTCTTACTGAATGGCCTCTTAAAGCCCCACTGTCTCCATAGCTGTAGCCAGACAATAAGATAATCCCCAGAGCAATGGGCAATTATTGCCATTTCAGAGCCACTGTGTGGTTGCCGCTGAAATGAAATCATTGGGTAGATCATCTTCAGCTATTATGGACCCGTGCCATTCCCTGGCAGGAAGCTGTGTAAGCAGATCGTTTCAGTAGAACAATAATGTTTAAAGCTTTAATAGTGGCCAGGCAATAGGAGCAATTTTCCTAACAGGATTGAGCTGAGGATAAACGAGATGTCTGACAAGCTACTCCGCTGTATGGTTATTTCCTGAGCCCACCGGGGACTCTGCTTTATTTATTGTCTTATTCTACAAGGAGCATAGCTCCTGTTACATGGGAGGCTCTCTGTGGATGTGTGTGGATTAGAAGGGTGAATAGGCAAATGAAAGAGTGATTGATTACAAGCTCCTGGGTGAAGGCTTCCTTGTCTTATGAACCACTCCGTCCTGGGTGGCCACTACTTTACTGAATCATCTCACTGTCTTCCATATCCACTGCCTTGAGGATGAATGGATATGACTGTCAAATCCTGGCCAGTCACTTCTCCAATGCATGGCATGGGTCCAGCTGCTTAACCATTGTCCCAAACTTTTATAGGCTTATTAAAAGGATCGAATTAGATACCTTAAAGTACCAGTAACTAGCACACATGGACAATCAGTACAGGATTGCTTATGAAAGCTAAGCATGTCTGTTGTCATCAACAAGAAGCAACCATGTGACCTGTTCTCTCTTGGCCAGTCTTGTCTCATATACCCCAAGTTTACTGTGGAGAAACTCAATCTACTTGTACTCTTCTGTTGGCTAACCCCTTTTACTTAAAATTTATTTTCCATTCCAAAAGTGCTCTCAAAGACGTCATACCCTTGAGATTCATAAGACCCATAAGTGGATGGTAGCAGACTCAAGAACTATCTTACAGATAAGGAACTTGATACCTAGACAATTAAATTCCTGGGGCTGGGAAGACAGTATGGTGGTGAAATACCTGCCAATGTAAGCATGAGGATGAATATGAGTTCAGAAACCCAGCACCCACATAGAAAGCCAGGAATGGCTGCCTGGGTCTAGAAGTCTAGTGGTGGTGGAGGGAGCTGCAACAGAGGCAGGTGGATCCTCAGAGCTCCCCAGCCATCCAGCGTAGCCAATCAGTGTGCTCTGGCCTCAGGGAGAGACCTTGTCTCAAAAAGTAAGGTGGGAAGTCATAGAAGAAAATAGCAGATGTTGACCCCTGGCCTCCACACTCATGTACACACATGTACATCTGTGTGCACATGTTTGCTCACATGCATAAACACATGTATGTGCCATACACACATATTCACAGACACATATATGAGAATTAAATCATTTATGTAAGATCATAATGACAGCAACGTGAGGGCCCAGGCTCAAGGGCAAAACTTTTCATTGCATTCTAGCAAGGGAATGGAGGCAGCCAAGCCAGCAAGCTAGCCCTAAGGCATCTCTTGACACAAACATCGTGTGTGAAGCCACCTAGGAAACATGAGATCCTTTGCAGGCAACCCTTCTGGACTCCTGAACTTTGAGTGTTTAAAGAGTGGCTAGCCCACAGTGCTCGACGGCTAAGGAAGGGACTCTTTGTAAAGCTTCTTTCATCTGTTCTCCTAGAAGCTGAGTGCTTCCTGGGCCATGAGCACCAACAATTGCTGTGGGTGAGAGGAAACTTGAATTTGAGAGGTGTCTTCTGTATTCACAACTCAATCCTGTTTTATTCACCCTGTAGAGACATAGCCTTGTGACACCTAGAGGAGAGATCTCTAGAGCCATAATACTGTGTAGCTCAGCTTCCAACAAGGAAGAACAAAGGAGCAATGATTGCTACCTGCTATGTGCCAGCATTGTGCAGAGCCCATTTGTAAGTTTTTTCTTTCCGTTTAATACTTCA